CCCATTTACTGAACCAAGTGGGAATTAGCCAGGCAGGCACAAAGGTTTGCACCAGGTCTGGGGACACAGGGCACACCGTCTTAAAGGGGCAGTGTCCCCAACAAGTCTGGGGACACGGCCTTAAAGGGGCAGTGTCCCAATCTTCCTGATGTCCCAAAAAAGGTGTTTAAAGGGCCAGCATCAGTCACATAAAGAGTCCATAAGCCCCAATATGCCCACCGACAGTCTTAAAGGGCCATACACACCAAATAAAAGTGCATACATTTTCACAATCTCCCAGGGGCCATAGTCATGCGGGAGGAGGCTGGCAAATAGGTTTCTCCACAACCCAGGGAAGCAGGGCAATTTGCCATTTAAAGGGCCCAAGCATAAATAGGCAGTTTGTAAAACAGGTGTCAATCCATATCTGCCAAGTGACCCCTAAGTGTAGGACCAGTCCCTAATTTGCCTTGGTGTCAGTGTGTATCGAAACCTTGGGACAGGTGTCAACCATATCTGCCAAGGACCCCACGTTGGGGTAACATTCCCTATTCTGATCTGTGTCAGTGTGTATCAGGATCCTTAGGACAGGTGTCAATCCATATCTGCCAAGTGACCCGATGTTGGGGTAACATTCCCTATTCTGCTCTGTGTCAGTGTGTATCAGGATCCTTAGGACAGGTGTCAATCCATATCTGCCAAGTGACCCGATGTTGGGGTAACATTCCCTATTCTGCTCTGTGTCAGTGTGTATCAGGACCACTGATAGGAGACGCGGAAGGTATTAAACTGATAAAAATGGTACTAAACACTCCACTCCTATCTGGTGTCACATTAGCTTGACAGCGCAGTGCCCCAAATTTGCAGTAAGAGGACCGACCAAGCCTCTTCTTCCATCTCCCTGTTACAAAAATCAATGCCGCGTACACGTCCACTGATAGGAGACGCGGAAGGTATTAAACTGATAAAAATAGTACTAAACACACCACTCCTATCTGGTGTCACATTAGCTTGACCGCGCAGTGCCTCAAATTTGCAGTAAGAGGACCGACCAAGCATCTTCTTCCATCTCCCATAAAAATCAGCCGTACACCACCACTGATAGGAGACGTGGAAGGTATTAAACTGATCAGAACAATACTAAACACACCACTCCTATCTGGTGGCACATTAGCTTGACCGCGCAGTGCCCCAAATTTGAATTAAGAGGACCGACCAAGCATCTTCTTCCATCTCCCTGTTACAGAAATCACTGCCATATCCATACAAATTGTACAGAATGTCCAGGATAGTTTTCCAGGGACAAATGTTGTCGCCTGTTGAACGAGGTGACCTTGCTCGGGTCCCAGGTGTACGGTTCCTAAAATGGCTGCCATATACACGTCCACTGATAGGAGACGCGGAAGGTATTAAACTGATCAGAACAATACTAAACACACCACAAATAAGGTTTCTCTCCTGTATGGCTCCTCAAATGATGCTTAAGATTAGAAGCGGCTGAAAAGCATTTCTCACACTCCGAACAAAAATATATTTTTTTAACATTCTCTCCACTTTGAACGAAATGACGTTTGGGAAGAGATTAACATAATTAAACACAGGCAGTAAAAATACAGTTTTTAGCCATACCCTGTAACTTTAAAACTACACATCCCATCTTCATAATTACATATTTGGAATCAGCACACTTAAAACATAAACATAACCAAAAATCAGCCAAATCCATCCAGGGGTTAAAAAGTTAGCTGTAGGTCCCTTTATGACCGACTGCAAGCACATTTTCCTGCCCAAAACAGTTCCATAGATTTGGCTGTGAGGTCGGTCTATTTCAGGCTGAAAAAACGACTAAGTCCCATCGCGAATGGGACTTAGTCTCTGCAGCTGAAATAAGGCTGAAAAAAACGGCTGAAAAAAAGACTAAGTCCCATCGCCGAATGGGACTTAGTCTCTGCAGCTGAAATAATTTCCCATTTACTGAACCAAGTGGGAAATAGCAAGGCAGGCACAAAGGGTTTGCACCAGGTCTGGGGACACAGGGGACACCGTCTTAAAGGGGCCGTGTCCCCAACAAGTCTGGGGACACGGCCTTAAAGGGGCAGTGTCCCAATCTTCCTGATGTCCCAAAAAAGGTGTTTAAAGGGCCAGCACCAGTCACATAAAGAGTCCATAAGCCCCAATATGCCCACCGACAGTCTTAAAGGGCCATACACACCAAATAAAAGTGCATACATTTTCACAATCTCCCAGGGGCCATAGTCATGCGGGAGGAGGCTGGCAAAGAGGCTTCTCCACAACCCAGGGAAACAGGGCAATTTGCCATTTAAAGGGCCCGTTACAAATAGCAGTTTGTAACAAGGTGTCAATCCATATCTGCCAAGTGACCCGATGTAGGGGGAACAGTCCCTATTCTGCTCTGTGTCAGTGTGTATCAGGGATCCTTAGGACAGGTGTCAATCCATATCTGCCAAGTGACCCTATGTAGGGGGACCAGTCTCTATTCTGCTCTGTGTCCGTGTGCATCAGGGGCTCTGAGGACAGGTGTCAATCCATATGTCAAGGTGTCAATATGTCATATGTCAGGTGTCAATCCATATTGATTGTGATTTAGGAATGTTAGGTGATTTCTGCCCTTTATGGATTAAAACCAGACTCTGTATCAACTGTGTAATTTTCCATGGGAGTTTTGCCATGGATCCCCCTCCGGCATGCCACAGTCCAGGTGTTAGTCCCCTTGAAACAACTTTTCCATCCCTATTGTGGCCAGAAAGAGTCCCTGTGTGTTTTAAAATTCGCCTCCCCATTGAAGTCAATGGCGTTTCGGGCGGTTCGCCGGTTCGCGAACATTTGCGGAAGTTCGCGTTCGCCGTTCGCGAACCGAAGATTTCGGGTTTGCGACATCACTAGTGGGGGGTACTGTCACAGCTCCCGGCTCGCCGCATGGCGTGTCTGTGCCCGACTGGCATGACCACGCCGACAAGCTGAGCTTACCTGCTCGGCGGCGAGCCGGAAACCGCTCCTCCGCGTCCTCTGGGCAATGTGCCCAAAACAAAGATGGCGCTGTTACAAACACATTACAGACAAGCATTATGTTGTTTCGTTGTTATAAGATTGCTTTGGTACTTGAATCCTGTACCCAACTCACGAACAGATTACTTACACCAATTAGTTAAATGAATAACGGACCACCCGGTCCCTGGCATGTGCCGCCACTTAACCCCGGTCACCTTTCGAACAACCGACCACCCTGCGAGGGGAGTGCTTCAATTAGAATGTTGAGTGTTGCGGTTAACCGCAGGTTAAGTACCCCCTTCATGGCGGTCTACGTTCGTCTCCCGAACAGCTGAAACATTCAGCCAGAGAGCGGGGATTCGTGCACACTCTGGCCGTTAATCGTTCCACAAGTTTGATGCCGAGGTCCCGCTGCCTATTGACTCACTCAAAAACATGGCTGCCATCTCAAGCTCGGGACCAAATATGCGAACAGACTTTGCAACGAAGAAACCAAGCATATGGTTCGTGGGTTTGAGGCACTATTCGGTGAAATATTGCACACAGACCTGGGCTACAGAATGAATGGTAGAAGTCCCGAAGTATAGCTGAAAATGTTGAAGTTATATATTTTTAACCTGTTTTTGATGTGTAATAAAAACGTGGTATTTTGGGCGCTTGGAGATAATTGAATTGGCATAGCCGTTAGGTTCATTATCTCCAAGCTGGGCGGTAACAAATTCAAACGATGCATTTCATTCTTATTGGTTGATCCCTTGTATTATTCCTGTATCCCATCAGGTCCAGCGGGGGCTGTCCCTGGACCTGAGATTTTGCATAAATACCGATCCCTGTGTGCCATTATAAGCAGTTCTTGTTTGACCTTCAAATCACAGCCTCGACTCGTTTTGTGGGGAAAAGAGTATCCTAGCTGTACTATAGCTAGTGGGATTGTTCTACATTTACAGGATCCTTTTGGGCACCTAGTCAAAGCGGCTTCTCACTCTCTCCACAACAGGATCCAGATCGTCCAAGTGGTCCAGCTTCCAGCTAGCCTGGGGGTAACCGTAACATTTGGTGGCAGCAGCGGGATTGTCCTGGATTTCCTAGGAGAGATACCGAACGGATGGAGAGCGCTTATGACAAATTGAAACGCACGACCTTAAAGGACTTACTCGAAAGCCGAGGGGGGGGGGGGAACGCCAGCAACCGTCCGAGGAGGGAGCTGATCGCAGAATTAACTTAACTGGATCAGAGCTTCACGATGGCAGAAACCCCAACCACGAGTACTGACAAAAAGACCAGGATTGTTCGGGAGAGGCTTTCACTATATGGGCCGAACCCCTCTATGGAACTGGTGCAGCAACTGATGGCAGAAGCAGACGAGGACATACGGAAAGCTAGAGCCCACGAGCTCAGCCTAGTGACCGCACAACGCCACGCCGAAGCATTACCGATCGTAATTTCTGCAGAGAATACCGGGAGGCCAAAGATACCCTATGCAGCTTTTAGACCTTTCCTGGAGAACGAGACAGGAATTGACGAATATTTGGCCGATTTTGAGCGGCAATGCGCACTGCACCAGATCCCCAACCAAGAGTGGCCCACGATATTGTCTGAAAAGTTATCCGGGCGAGCACTGGAAGCGTTTTGGACTCTGAGTGCTGAGGAAGTGACCCAGTATACGCTGGTCAAGGACACACTCCTACGGCGATACGCTGTAACTCCTGAAACATATCACCGAAATTTCGTAGCACGAAAAAGAAGCCCAATGATACGCATATGGAATGGGCGCACCGAATGCGAAGGGCAGCAAACCACTGGATGAACGGGAGTAAAGCCGTGACCGCTGAGGAAATTTTGCAATTATTTCTGCTGGAACACTTTTATAATGGCATGGAGCAACAGGGAAAGGAATGGCTGCGAGACAGACGACCTGCTACCTTAGAAGAAGCGGCCAAGTTGGCCGACGAGCATTATGATTTCCGTTTACACGAACCGACGAGCTACCGTACCGCCGCACGAGTCGAACACAAGGACAATTACCGTACGTCTCCCCGCACCGAATTCCAAGCTCCGATACCCACTGGGCCCATACGGTACTCAGGACCACCCAGTAACAACCCCTCTGACCGGCCCCGACCGACGTGTTTCAGATGCAAACAACCTGGGCATCTCATGGCAAGCTGCCCTCTCAACACACATCAGACCCCCCAGAATTATAACTACCCCTATGGAGGAATATTTGGGACCGCTCCACGTAGCTGATCCTGTATATGTCGCTTCAGATAATCGCCAACACCACCGGTAGAAGGTATGGCTCGAGGGTCGCTCTACCGAGGGGCTACGGGACACTGGTGCTACCATTACACTGTGTAACAAACCACCTCTTTTACAGGTAGGATTGTGACAGATCTTGCAGTAACCACAGCCTTCTAGGGTATACAAAGTCCAGGACACATTCAGCTCGGTTTTCCTTTTTTATTCAGTAAGAAAACAGGTGCTTTAAATAATAACAAAAACAAACAAAAATCCCTTGCTCTTACTTGAGCTCTTACTAGACAGTAATTGCTATCTGCAATTGGGTGGCTTTCCCACTTACCAATTTTCCAAACAAAAGAAATGTCTTTGCAATAAACAGAATCTCTCCTAGCTGTCTTTTTCTCCCTCATTCTGCAGCAGGCTGCCCTCTTCTTTTAAAGGCCTGTCTACTAATTGACTGGCTACAGGTGAGTGCCAATTAACTAACTCGTAAGTCAGATCCAAATAGTGGTCTGTTACACAGCAACTAATGCTGTTGGAGCATTGGCCCACCCTGCTCTCCAAATACTCCGCCCCAGGGACCCATACCAGGTTTTGCAGAGCATCAGCTATGCATATTGCAAACTTTAACCTCTCTCCCTGGGGCATTTAACTGAAAATCCTCTGGTTGCTGTTTAGCAGATCAGGTCTGATGTATCTCCCATCAACCACTATTCCACCTTTACGCTCACATATCCTCCCCCCCAGCTCATACCCATGGATTTGAGCGACCATGGAAATCAGGGAGTGTACCCTCGAAAGCCCATCAGCATTACCTTGTTGCAGACCAGCCCTGTGTTCCACAGTGAAATTAAAAGATTGTAAACTCAAAAACCATCTGGTTACTCTGGAGTTATTTTCCTTGTTCTGATACATCCATGTCAGAGGTGCATGGTTATCAATCGGAACTTTCTGCCTAGCAGGTAGTATTTAAGAGAGTCTAATGCCCACTTAATAGCAAGACACTCTTTTTCAACAATAGAGTAGTTCTTCTCATGTGGGTTTAACTTCCTGCTCAAAAAGAAAACAGGGTGTTCTTCACCCTGGTATTCCTGTGAAAGAACAGCCCCCAAGCCAACATCAGAAGCATCTGTCTGAACTATAAAGTCCCTGGAAAAATCTGGGGTCACCAAGACAGGATGGCTACAGATAGCTTCCTTCAGACTCTTAAAAGCCTTTTCTGCCTCAGGGCACCATTTAACTATGACTGGGGATTTTGCTTTAATAAGGTCTGTTAGGGGTGCAGCAATGGTAGCAAAATCTGGAATGAACTGCCTATAATATCCAATTAAACCCAAAAATGCCTTTACTTGTTTCTTTGTAAGGGGCTGTGGCCATTTTTGTATGGCTTCTACTTTGGCTTCCTGTGGTTTAACCAAACCCCTCCCAATAGAATAACCTAAGTACTTTGCTTCCTCTAAACCAATCGTACACTTGGAAGGATTGGCAGTTAAGCCCGCTGAGCGGATAGCATCAAGCACCGCTTGAACTTTGGGGAGGTGGGATTCCCAGTCTGCACTGTGGATGACGACATCATCCAAGTATGCTGCAGCATAACGAACATGAGGTTTAAGAATTCTGTCCATCATTCGTTGGAATGTGGCAGGTGCCCCATGTAACCCAAATGGCAATACAGTGTACTGAAACAGGCCACTGGGTGTTGAAAAGGCTGTCTTTTCTTTGGCTCTTTCAGTGAGAGGGACCTGCCAGTAACCCTTTGTTAAATCCAAGGTTGTTAGATAACGAGCTTTACCCAGTCTTTCTATTAACTCATCAACTCTGGGCATTGGGTAAGCATCAAATTTTGAGATGGCATTTAACTTGCGGTAGTCATTACAGAACCTCCATGTGCCATCAGGTTTTGGCACCAATACAATAGGACTACTCCAGTTACTCTGGGATTCTTCAATGACTCCAAGTTTTAACATGCTCTCAACCTCTAAGTTTATAACCTCCCTCCGGGCCTCAGGAATTCTATAGGGTTTGAGGTTAACTCTTTTCCCTGGTTCGGTTATTATGTCATGTTTAATCACCTTAGTCTTTCCTGGAACTACCGAGAAAACATCCCTATTTCTTCTGATGAAGTCTCTGACCTCTTGCTTTTGATGTACAGACAGAGTCTCAGATACGTTCATCTCTGGCTCTACTATAGGAGGTTCTGAAGTTTTTAAAGCAACCAGGACCTCCCTGTCCTTCCATGGCTTTAACAGATTTATATGATACAACTTGTAACGGAGCTCCCTGTACTCCGACCGAGTACCCTCCGTTGACGGATGCTCCTAGTGCTTCCTGAGGACTCCAAGCGCTGCAGCAGACACCACAACCACCGCAGACTCCGCAACCGCCGTATCTGGACTGGAGTCTCGACGTCTTCCTTCCACCCTGGATCAGCTTCTGTCCTCCAGGACTGTGTGGGAAAGAACTCTTCCTTCCACCCTGTACGAACCTCCAGCATCCAGGACTGTGTGGTGAAGACCCCTCCTCCAAGGAGAGCGTGTCAGGAACAAGCTCTTAAAAGAGCTAAGTGACTCAAGCTCAGGGGAGCATGCAGAGCATAGCAATCCCCAGTGTGATTATAACAGCTCCCTCCAATAACGAGACAAGGCTACGTTTAGAGGGATCAAGAAGAACTGTCAAAACCTTTATTCCCTTGGGACCAGCCAATACAGTCACCACAATAACATTGTTGTGAAACCTCAATAAAATCACAAACAGTCAAACCATATCAAGAAACACACAGTGACTTATCACAACACAATGGCACATTTTTAAAGGGGTGGGGGGAGACAATATTTAACAGTAAATATCTCACCTGCCTGCAGAATTAGCAATATGCAAATCTACCCGAATATGCAAATGAACCAGTCTTGCAATTCAGGTAGTGCATATTGCTGTTGCTACCAACAGAGGGCACTAGACCAGCTCCATAGCCAAACCCACCTAGTTGGTAGCAAACCTCAGCAATACAAGAGAGCAGGCAATACATTACACAGTACACACACACACACTATAAACAATTACATTACACACACCCTGCACCTATAATGGGTACAGGGTGACTAAAACATAGGATAAATAAAGCAGCCCACATAAATAGTCTGTCTGAAGGTAGACTAGGGGCTTTAAAGCCAGATAGATGAAAGAGTCATAGTCACAGGGGAGGAGGCTGGCAAGTAGGCCTCTCCAGGACCAAGTGGCGAAGGGCACTTCGTCACACAACTGTTCAGGCTTTCTTCTTCCTGGTTGTCTGACTTTATAATTGACATCACTCACTTTCTCTATTATTTCATAGGGTCCATGCCAAGTCGCAAGGAACTTATTCTCCACAGTAGGGACCAGAACCAATACCCTGTCTCCAGGTTGGAACACTCTGACTCTAGCATTACGGTTATAGCTGTTTTTCTGAGCCTGCTGGGCTTCCAGCATGTGTTCCCTGACAATAGGCATGATGGTGGCCATTCTATCCTGCATTTGAGCTATATGCTCAATTACACTCCTGTGAGGAGTAGTCTCCTGTTCCCAGGTCTCCTTAGCAATATCCAATATTCCCCTGGGATGTCTTCCATATAACAATTCAAAAGGAGAGAAGCCCGTGGAGGCCTGTGGAACTTCCCTAATGGAAAACAGTAGATATGGCAATAAAAAAATCCCAATTTCTTCCATCAGCATCAATTACCTTGCGTAGCATACTCTTAAGGGTTTTGTTGAACCTCTCTACTAAACCATCAGTCTGTGGGTGATATACTGAGGTCTTAAGATGTTTAACCTGCACAACTCTTTTGTGATTCTGGACATAAACGGGGTCCCCTGGTCTGTCAGGATTTCTTTAGGGATACCCACCCTACTGAACATCAACATAAGTTCCTTAGCTATTAACTTTGCAGAGGTATTACGCAAGGGAATGGCCTCAGGGTAACGAGTTGCATAGTCCAAGATGACTAATATATATTGGTGTCCTCTAGCAGACTTTACCAGTGGCCCCACTAAGTCCATAGCGATCCTTTCAAAAGGTACATCAATTATGGGTAAGGGTACAAGTGGACTACGAAAAGTCTTGAAAGGAGCCCTGTACTGGCACTCTGGACAAGAGGAGCAATAGTTTGTAATAGCAGCAAACACTCCAGGCCAGTAAAACCTTCTAAGGACTCTCTCTCTAGTTTTTTCGACTCCCAAGTGTCCCCCTAATATGTGGCTGTGAGCCAACTTTAGCACTATATTCTGGTAAGTCTGAGGAACCAACAGCTGCTTAATGATGTCTGAATCCTTTTTTTCTAAACGGTAAATTAGGTCATTTTGTACTTCAAAATAGGGGAACGGCAGTGCTTCTCCTGGCTGATTAGCAACCCCGTTTACAACTTTAATATCATTTCTAGCTGTTACTAAAGTGGGATCTTCCCACTGAGCGCTTTTAAAGTTACCTGGACTAATTCCAATATCAATTAAGTCCTTATCCTTGTCTGCAGTATTAGTAGGCTCCTCACTAGTTTGAGCTGGGTTATCTCTTATTAATACTGGTTTAGGGCAGTATTTTTTCCTTTTTCTTATTTTTCCGTCACAGTGGTCAAAACCCAAGTCAATATCGGAAAAAGGGAACACATTATCCTCGACAGACTGACTCATTTCTGATAAATTTTGGTCTGTCTTTTGTAAAGCTGCCCATAATTTTAGAAAATGAGGAAAGTCTCTACCGATCACTACCTCATGGGCTAATCTAGGTACTACACCCACTCGGTACTTTAAATCCCCATACTGGGTTCCAATATTTACTTCCGCAGTGGGGTATTCCTTTTTATCACCATGAACACAGATAATGCCTATTTTCTGTACATGATCAGGTTTTACACAAGGTATTATAGACTCTGCTACCAACGTAACCATACTACCTGAATCAAGTAATGCTTTAGACATTTTTCCATTCACAGTTACACAGCATTTATGAGCGTTATTATCATAGTCATTGTTAACAGTACCATAACAATTGAGCAAAAATGAACGTGTTCCCTCATCTTT